TGCTCATTAGGCCAAGTTGAGGCGGCGCCCCACATACCACACTTAGAAGGACCCACAACTTAAATATACAAGTATGTACTGGGGGGATTTAGGGAGAAAAAGCAGGAAAAAAAAAAAAAAGAGGAAGATTAGCAACAGTTGTTAGCTCAGGTGCCAATCTATTAAAAAATAAATAAATAAATAAACTTCTGTTCAGAGTCCACTTTCATCTCCATCTCCCTGTGGAACACACTGCTTTATCTTGCCTGTGTCCAAATACTCCCCCACATACCACAATGTGAGCACCTGTGAGTGGAGGTCACGGCTTCTCTGGGCTGGAGGTCAGGACAATCAGGCTGGTCCTTAACTGGGAAGTTTTAAAGAGGCTTGGAGTTTAGAGAAATGGCCTCCTCCAGTGCAATTCATGCAAAGACCTTTGAAACCAGCCAAGATCCACAGCTCTGGGACCTCGGAATTCTCAAAGAGGTGAATCGTGATTAGAATAAAACCACAGTTATGACCTTTGGTCTGTGTATTCTTGGGCAAGGCGGTGTTTTTGAACATTTAAATTAGATGCCCATCCAGTTTCACATACACACAGCTGCATTTTGGGACATTCCTTAAAAGTTCAGAAAGTGTGACGATACTGTGACCCATGCTCACAGGTCGTCAGTCTTAGAGCAGTCTTTGGAGAGGCAGGAATTCTTTAGTTTGCCACAGCCCCATGGCTCCCTGTTTTTCCTATCCTGCCACTGAGAGTCACCTGCCATCTCATCACACTTGTTTTATTGTTTTCCTATAGCCCACTTAAAAAGAAAGTGAACAATTTTTATTCCCCAATATTCATGAATAGCACAGTGACAAAATACAGTGAGGTCCACGTATTCTTTGTGCAAGGGAGTCTCCTTCTACATGCACAACAAGAAAACAAAGTGTAACCATTTGTAAAGAATACAACTTGAGACCCCATTAGCAACCAAATCAGTTCCGCTTAACTTCAGGTTACTAGCCCAATCCCATCAATAATTTAGTATGAAACCCAGAGAGTATTGTTATTTTCCGCAATCTGTAGGTGAACAAGCGGAGGTTCAGAGAGTTTAAGTTCACACAGCTAAACCAATGGTGTGTCCAGCCTTCCACCAGCTCTTTCGGTACCAGACTCTGCCTAGAGATGGTTGACCAGAGGGAGGTCTCTGCTTGTGACCTGAAGGTGAGCATCGTCATCACAAATCCCCAGATCAGGAATCCCTCCTCATCAGCCTCTCAGGGCCTCAGGATGCCTCTGCCCACACAGGAACTTCAGGGGCCTCAGTGACTACAGGGACGTGGACACTGAGATGGCCGGCCTGGCGTCAGTCCCTCATTCATCCCACATGTCTTGAGAGTGGCAGGTAGCAGGAGGGCAGAGGATGGATGTAGGGAGGCCCAGGTTGAAACCCGGGGCTCCTCCTCTTGCCAGCCCTGTGCCTTGGACAAGCCCTGAGCACCTCCCAGCTCCCATTTTCCATCTGTGAAAAGGGTGAATCAGCTCCCCATATCACGGAGTGGTTGTGAGGAGAATGCAGGGAGAGCTTCAGGAGACAGGGGCTGAGCACAGCGCACAGCAGCTATGATTATTTTTTATGCTTGTTATTATTACTCCCCACAGATATTGCTGCTGGAGTCCTAATCCCACCAGGGAGGGTCTTTGCAAGGCTGAGCGGTCCTCCTAAGCAGACCCGTGGGGGAATGGGAAGGCTTGGAGGAAGAAATCTAATGCCACACAAGTAACCCCCTCCCCCAGGATTACATCAACCATTTTCTTGCAGGAACTGCTCCTCCAAAAGAGGTGTGGCTCCACTTGATGACAGAAGCCGGGATTGGAGAGATGCTGTACAAGCCAAGGTGTGTCGAGGATTGCCGGCAGCCACCAGAGCTAGCTGACAGGCCTCCATTGTTTGTTTGGCCAAAAACAATTTGGGAGGTGGAATGGGGAAGGAGGTGGATAGGTGGAGGGCCAGTGAGATGTGCCGGATTCCGGTGATTCAAGCTGGCGCTGTTGTAGCTGTGAGTTACCGCACAGAGCCAGTGCTACCCGTCTCTTGCTATCAAGGGGAATCATTCCTTAAGGGACACACACACACATGTGCACACACACACAAGCTGGCTCCTCTCTTCATATCCAGAAAGTCCTCGGAGAGAAAATATAGAGTGCAAACTTGGATAGAAGCTAATGTAAAGGTTATGATCTCACTTTAAAATTTTTTCTGATACATTTTTAAAACATTCGCTTGGGATGTGACTGTGATGGGAGGCTGAGCAGAAATGGAAGCTTTAGCTTCTGGAACTTTCTCTTTATAAGGGCATCGCAGGGGATGTATATGTGGAAGGACTGGGGCATCCAGTTCACTTTATTGATTGGCTTGCATCTAAAGACCACAAATGTCACTCATCTCTCATTAACAGTAGAAAATCGTGAGCTTGAGAGGCAGAAAGGGCTTGGGGACCTCCCGACCTGGGTCTCTCACAGGGTCTGCCTGTTTAGGCCTCCTGAGCCTGGCAAGTTGCTCAGCTTCTCTGAGTCTCAGTTTCCTCATCTAGAAAAAGAGGGTGATAACAGCTACAGATGGGGGTATCGGGTGATTGAATGAGAGAATGGGGCAGAGTCACTGGCACATACCAGGTAGTCAATATGGTGGTTTCCATTGCTTTTTTGTACTAGGAAAAAAAATGTCACATTTAAAGAGTTTGCAAAAGGAATTTTTGACCTCCCTCCACAACCAGTCTGTCTCGAACACCTACTATGGAAGTCGTGGGGCAGCAGGTGCTTTAGATTTCTCAACCAATGTCAGTCTTATGACCACCTTTAAAGAGGGTTTCACTATCCCCACTGTCGAGATGAGTCCCTGAGCTCAGACGGGTTACATAACTGAGCCAGAGGCCTTGGGTGGGAAGCAGGAGAGGCAAATCTCTAGCCCAGGTCCAGCCGACTCTGTCACGCTGGAGTAAACCTCCTCACGGCTCTGCCGGTGGCTGAAGGTCATGAGTGAGCAGAAGATCCATCAGCTTCCTGGGCTGGAGGGGATCTTAAAAGGGCTGCGGGTCTGGTCGGTTCTCCAATGTCAACATCACCCAGACCAGACCAGGGTTATTGTGCAATGACCCCTGGAAGCGTTTAACAGTCTTTTCCTGTCTCAGGATTGCATCGAATTGAGATGTCTCACTGGGGGAGGGGAGTCAGAGGGCTGACAATCTGTGTGGACCTTAAGGGAAAATGACCTTCCTGAGGTGTGGCTAGGAGGAGATTGGGGAGGGTCCAGGATGTTGGTTCAGTTCTCTTGGGAATGGGGGTAAGGTGCACAGGTGGGTCCTAGGCCCTGTCCTACAAGGACACTGCAGTCTTTGATGTTTCTGAACACACCAAGCAGGATCCAGTCGTTGGAATAGAAGCACCACACAGAGTGGGATTTTTTTTCTATTTTCTTTGCTGTTATTTTCTACTCCCAAAGCATTGTCTGGCACATAGTAGGAGCTCATAGTAGGTAATAAATAAACAAGTTAATTAAATTTCAGATGATTTGCACTGACTGTTCACACCATTTGGAACATGCCTACCTGAGAGAGTCACCTGGCTTGACTCCTCATTTCATTTAGGTCTAGCCTCAAAAGCCACCTCCATAGAGAGGCCTCCCCTGACCATCTCATCTAAGACTGGTTACCCTCCATCACTTCTACCCCCTTCCCCTCCTTTACTCTTCCTCTCTATCACTTGTATACTTGTGGGTTTATCATCACTTTGCTCACTGGTATTTCCATGGGGCAGAGCACCCGTCCTCTGTGCACCGCTGTATCTCCAGCCCCTAGAACAGAGTCTGGCAGAGTCAGTGCCCAATATTATGTGTTGAATGAAGGAGTGAATGAATGCGTGCATACTCCGTGGGAAGAGCTTACACAGTGCCTGGCGCATAACAAGTCGGAGACAAATGTTAGTGTTGATGATGTTGGTGATGATATCCAAATGTCACTCTGAGCCTGTCACACTCTGGATTGGCTACTGACAACCCTCAGTGTAGGTCCTGGTAGGTTGGTGAGTGTATCAAGCCACTCTACCACCCGACCTGCCATTCCTCTCTGCCATTGAGAGAGACTCTAAAAAACAGTGCTTTTACCAACTCCCGATCCTCACTTTGTGCTCCTTATGGAATTGTGACAAGGCACTAGGGACACATCATCCTCTCTCTCTAACTTTTCAAATAAAACACATCCAAATCCTTCTTATGCTAATGTCGGACTGACTAGTAGCAGTGTCATCCTTGCATCCCTCCACATTCCAGCCACATCTCTTGGATTTTCTAGGAATTTTGCCATTTTCTAGGATTTTCTCCTCTCTTTGCTGTCAGACATGTTGTCATTTGTCAAAAGTACCTCCATTCTGCCCCATTTCCTACCCAAAGAGGCTCTCTCCAAAATCCAGCTCTGCTATCACCTCCTCCAGGAACCTCAACATGAGATCTTTCAGCAGATTCTGCCTCCTCTCTCTGCTTTTCCATGCTGCCTTTTTCCCCTTCCATTAGAGTCTTCATCACAGGCACTCTACTTACCCCAGCTCCTCCCCCACAGGCCAGACATGAGCTCCTCAAGGTCAGGAGTCCAGCTTATGGTGAGTGGTAATGGGCTCTGACTTGAGTGAGTGGAGGGCATTCCTCCTGCCTTAGGACTTGGCTTACAGAACACCTGGCTTCAATTCCTGGCTCCCCTCTTACCATCTGTGAGACCCTGACAAGTGTCTTTATCACCCCATGCCCCAGGTGTCCCACTTGAAATCAGGGGTCCTAATTATTACAGTTCAGTAAGCATCAAACACCACAGTCCAGTGGACAAAAACTGAAAGAAAGGGATGCTGGAACGGGTCCCCTTTGGGGATGATTTAAGATGGGTGGGGAATAGGAAGTCATTCCTAAGGAATGTTTTCCACCAAAATATGGTACCTGCTTATGAATTCTTTTGGAACCATATCCAGAGAAACCAAATAATGCTGAACATATTTTTGAAGAAAAGTTTTAATGTCTATTAATTCGGGAAAAAGTGCGTCGCACTGAAATTATCACTCTGGCTTGTTCAGCCCAAAGACTGGTCCTCAATGCTCATATACACACAGCATTGTGGGCCGTGAAAACATACACTGAGGTAAACAGCCTCTGAAGATCACATTCAAGGGAGGGAATACATAGCAATTTCCAAACACAAACACAGAATTACAAACCTTGTTTAAAAATCAGCTGCACTCCCACAGCACAAATGTTCCTACCTATCTCATGGAGAGCCTGGAGAGCTTCAAAGCGTGCAGAAGGACCAATGCCATGGCATCTCCTAACTGGCTCCAATGGCCTTTGCCTCATTACAATTGTTGGTCCTGTATCACAGTGCCAAAGATTTCTCAGAAGGCGCTCCCTGAGTCGTCATAGTCGTTGAGGGTACTCTGCTGGACTGTCTTCTGGCCCACATCGTGAGGCGACTGGTAGATTATCGTCTGCTTGATTTTGACGCCTGAGTCATCATTACAGTTGGGTTTGGGGGTGGTAACCTCATTGTAGAATGACTCCGTGGGGGTGGTCTCTTCGATCTGGGGCTGCTGTGTAGTGGTGGTCTCTTCCACTTTGACTTGTTCAGTGGGCGTGGTCTCTTCCATCACGATGGGCACTGTGGTGGTGGTCTGTTCCAACTTGGGCTGCTGTGTAGTGGTGATCTCTTCCACTTTGACCTGCTCAGTGGGCGTGGTCTCTTCTATCACGATGGGCACTGTGGTGGTGGTCTGCTCAGTCTTTGCCTGCTGTGTAGTGGTGGTGTCTTCCACTTTGACCTCCTCAGTGGGGGTGGTCTCTTCAGTCACGATGGGCACTGTGGTGGTGGTCTGCTCAGTCTTGGGCTGCTGTGTAGTGGTGGTCTCTTCCACGGTTACCTGCTCAGTGGGAGTGGTCTCTTCCGGCACGATGGGCACTGCGGCTGCGGTCTGTTGGATCTGGGGCTGCTGTGGAGTGGTGGTCTCTTCCACTGTTACCTGCTCAGTGGGGGTGGTCTCTTCCGGCACGATGGGCACTGCGGCTGCGGTCTGTTGGATCTGGGGCTGCTGTGGAGTGGTGGTCTCTTCCACTGTTACCTGCTCAGTGGGGGTGGTCTCTTCCGGCACGATGGGCACTGTGGTGGTGGTCTGCTCAGTCTTGGGCTGCTGTGTAGTGGTGGTCTCCTCCATGGTTACCTCCTCAGTGGGAGTGGTCTCTTCCGGCACGATGGGCACTGTGGTGGTGGTCTGCTCAGTCTTGGGCTGCTGTGTAGTGGTGGTGTCTTCCACTTTTACTTCCTCAGTGGGGGTGGTCTCTTCAGTCACGGTGGGCACTGTGGTGGTGGTCTGTTCAGTCTTGGGCTGCTGGGTAGTGGTTGTCTTTTTCCCTTTTATCTGCTCCTTGGGAGTGGTCTGTTGAATCACGATGGGCACTGTTGGGGTGGTCTCTGTGACTTCAACCGCCTCTGTAGGGACGGGTGCAATGGTCTGGATCCCTGGCCCTGGAAAGAACGGTATGATTTCTGTCGTACCTGTTGTGGGGGCCTCATGGATTATGATATGCCACCAGGGGGTGATGTCCTTATCACACTGGTTGAGATCAACGATCAGAGTGGAGAACACCAGCTTGAAATTTGATTCTGGAAACCTCCTACTGCAGACCCTGCTCCTCAGGACCACATTGGCGTCCTCACAGAGGTTCCTCTGGAAGCTCAAGTGATAAGCAATTTGTCTCCAATAAATAATATCGCTTTTACAGCCCTCTATGCAGGAAGTTGGGTTGCCGGTAAAGACACAGGAAAAGTGATGGTCCATTCGGGAGCACACGGCCTTCATGGCGGTGCCTTCCTCGTGCTCCATCACAGTCACAGTACATGAGGCCAGATCCGGGGTGATAATCACGCCGTTGACCAAGTGCCTGTGTTGCCTGGGCCTCTGCACAATCTGGGGCTTACCCAGAGGGATCCAATGATCTTTGGTTTCTGTACTGCCTTGCCCCTCCAATGATTTCAGTGCACCTAACACCGAGAGCACCTGAGCGGCCAGAAGGAGGAAGGGCAGCAGGGTGAGGCTGCAGATCCTCATGGCTTCAGCTTGGAGGAACCTGTTTGACAAAAGGTGAATGAGTCAGTGCAGAGCAGCAGTTCAGCAGTACAGGGCTACACGCTGACTCTCCATCCCCATGGACACAGGCCTGCCTGCTGGCTGTGAGACTAAGCATCCTTCTGGCTCCTGGATCACTAGACAAGCAGCCCATCCCAGCCCAGCTCTGCCCCTCTGCATCTCAGTTCTTTTAGTGGTGTTGGAAACGATAAGTGCAAACTCTCCTTAGCTCCAGAGAGCTGGACTTCTAACTCATGGTTCCGCAGGGACAGACCACCCACGAGGAGAAAGGATGTAGTAAGTGACATGAAAGGTGATGTCTGACCCCAGTTTAAACCTGTATGGGGTGGGACTCTCTGAGATGTGTGGGTTTGTGAGGGGGCATTTGGGATGCAGTAAGAGTCTAAGGAAAAGCACAAGGGAGGGGATCTCATTCAGGTTGACTTGGCAAACGGAACCAGGGGATGGGGTGCACTTCCAGCAGTCATTTACACCGCAGGGTTGAAGGGGGGGATCGTGTGTAATTGATTTCTGGAGCCCTGCTGTGCCACAGTGCTGGGCACATAAACCCTCAGTCAGTGCTTTAAAAAAATATATCATTGAATAAATAGGCTGACCTAAAATGCAACACTAAACTGCATGGATTTCATCCATGGGCAATAAAAAGAAACATGCTTAAAAGGAGAAGAGAAATAGGCTTTCTATTTGAGCCCTACTATGTGCTACTAGCATTCAGAGTCTCACCTTGTTTAATCCACTCAAGAGCCTTCCTGGCAGGTGATAATAAACCACCCTCAGATAACAGATGTGACAGCTAAGGCTCAGACCAGTAAAAAACCAGCTCGAGGTCCCATAGTGGGCAAGTGATCAAGATGAGACAGGTAGAACAGAACTTCTCTCTCTGGTCCTGTACACCAACCCTTATTGAGGGATTTGTGCCTTTATCTTTACTCTTGAGAAATCTTGATAACAAATAAGAAACCTATGGAGTATTCAGGGTTTGGTTTGGTGCAGTTCATGATAAAGTGATTCATATTATAAAGCTCCACATTAAAAGAAAATATAGAATGTTGTCTGCAAGGCAGCAGACCCAGAAAATGGTCTGGATGTCATTTCCATCCTGGGCATATGGCCTCCCCTAAGGATAGAGAAAGGGAAGACAGTCACAGGCAGGTGGGCTCCCGAAATGCAGGATGGGACAAAGATTAGGTAATACCAGACAGAGACCCACTCATTCCTCAGGGAGTTGCCCTTCAGCCCCCGCATGTCCTTGGTGGGTTCCAGACCCCAGAACCTGAGGTCCGTGGGGGAGCTAGAGGAAGGGTGGAATGAAGGTCTCAGGAGAGCCAGGCTCTTACCTTGCTCAGAGTGTGCAGATCCAGTGCAATCCCAGATGCCAGAGGGAGCCTGAGGGCTGGTAGCTGTCTCGTCTGCAGTGAGAGGCAGGGGAGGCCCTTTTTATAGAAGCCCAGGCAGACAGGGTTTTACAACACACGTGCCTGTGCAGCTTTGTCACATTCCTCCCAGACACACCCCTTTTGGAGGAGCAGTTCTTGCAGGAAAATGGTTGATTCAATCCTGGGGGAGGGGGTTACATGCATGGTACTAGACTTGCTTCCTCCAAGGCCTTCCCTTTCCCCCAGTGACCTGCTTAGGAGGACCACTCAGCATTGCCAAGACCCTCCCTGGTGGGATTAGGACTCCAGCAGCAATATCTGTGGGGAGTAATAATAAGGAACATAAAAATCAATCATAGCTGCTGTGCGCTGTGCTCGGCCCCTGTCTCCTGAAACTCTCCCTGCATTCTCCTCACATCCACTCCATCATATGGGGAGCTCTGATTCATCCTTTTCACAGATGGAAAATGGGAGCTGGGAGATGCTCAGGGCTTGTCCAAGGAACAGGGCTGGCAAGAGGAAGAGCCCCGGGTTTCAACCTGGGCCTCCCTGCATCCATCTTCTGCCCTCCTCCTACCTGCCACTCTCAAGACATGGGGGGTGAATGAGCAACTGACGCCAGGCCAGCCACCTCAGTGTCCGTGTCCCTGTAGTCACTGAGGCCCCTGAAGTTCCTGTGTGGGCAGAGGCATCCTGAGGCCCTGAGAGGCTGGTGAGGAGGGATTTCTCATCTGGGGATTTCCGATGACGATGCTCACCTTCAGGTCACGAGCAGAGACCTCCCTCTGGTCAACCATCTCTAGGCAGAGTCTTGGACCAGAAAGAGCTGGTGGAAGGCTGGACATACCATTGGTTTAGCTGTGTGACCTTAACCTCTCTGAACCTGCACTTGTTCATCTACAGATTGGGGACAATACCAGTACTCTCTGAGTTTCATAATAAACTATTGATGGGGCTGAGCTATTAACCTGAAGTTAAGCGGAACTGATTTGGTTGCTAATGGGGTCTCAAGTTGTATTCTTTACAAATGGTTACACTTTGTTTTCTTGTTGTGCATGTAGAAGGAGACTCCCTTGCACAAAGAACACGTGGACCTCACTATATTTTGTCACTGTGCTATTCATGAATATTGGGGAATAAAAATTGTTCACTTTCTTTTTAAGTGGGCTATAGGAAAACAATAAAACAAGTGTGATGAGATGGCAGGTGACTCTCAGTGGCAGGATAGGAAAAACAGGGAGCCATGGGGCTGTGGCAAACTAAAGAATTCCTGCCTCTCCAAAGACTGCTCTAAGACTGACGACCTGTGAGCATGGGTCACAGTATTGTCACACTTTCTGAACTTTTAAGGAATGTCCCAAAATGCAGCTGTGTGTATGTGAAACTGGATGGGCATCTAATTTAAATGTTCAAAAACACCGCCTTGCCCAAGAATACACAGACCAAAGGTCATAACTGTGGTTTTATTCTAATCACGATTCACCTCTTTGAGAATTCCGAGGTCCCAGAGCTGTGGATCTTGGCTGGTTTCAAAGGTCTTTGCATGAATTGCACTGGAGGAGGCCATTTCTCTAAACTCCAAGCCTCTTTAAAACTTCCCAGTTAAGGACCAGCCTGATTGTCCTGACCTCCAGCCCAGAGAAGCCGTGACCTCCACTCACAGGTGCTCACAGTGAGGTATTTAGGGGATGTTTGGATGTAAACAAGATAAAGCTGCATGATCCTCAGGGAGATGGGGATGAAGGTGGACTCTGAAAACAAGAGAAGTTCATCTTGATCCTCAGGAGGCAGCCAGATTCTTTCTGGAGAAGGACTACATCATCCAGAACACAAAGCAAATTTAGAAGGACACAGGTGGATTCCAGGATCTTTTCTGAGAAGTGTCCCTAAGCTTTGGAGGTAACGTGGAACTGCCCCCACTGGCTTCCCCTGGCCCTTCAGCCTTCCTGTGCTCCCATCCCCACTTCTACCTCGATCTTTCTATTCCAAACAGGGGGCACACTATTAGACCAGGCTGTGCAGAGCTTTCCTTGTTGGCTCAGCCTGTCATTCCAAACTCATTTCCAGACAGGCCCACATCAGGCACACATGTACTCAGTCATGCATGCACTCTAATCTGGCCACACTAAGTCACTCACCAAACATTTCCTGCACACTCAGTGCACTCATCCCCATCCTGCCCTTACTCCTGCTGTTCCCCTTACTTGGAATGCTCTTCCAGTCCTACTTTGCCAGGTGCACACAGGGTCATCCTTCAAGATCCAGTTCAGATGTCATCTCCTCTCTGTTGTTGTCATTGGTCCCCTGCTCCTTCCCCACTCCCTCCACTATTCCATGGATGTTCAGCAGAGAAAGAGACCACCACCCCCAGTGCGTGTTTACAATGTGCCAGCATTGTGCTAAGGCTGCGTGCCCCAAATTAATTCACATCCCGATACACTGAGAAAACACACCCTTCTACAGTGTGCGGGGGAGACCGGAGAGAGTTTGGAGCCCCAGTGAGGCTGTTGTCAGCGGGTTCCCACCACGGCCCACACTCCCAGGATGGAGGGGATCCCTGACTCCTGGACAACTGACTTTGCAAAGGCTCATTACTGTTCTGCACAAGAACCCCAGGAGGAAAGTCCGCTCTGGATCCTCATGGTGCCTGTGTGGGGCTGAGGCTTATGTGGCCCAAGTTGCCTGCAAATGCCCCAGAGCTCTGAATGGCACAGCCTGGACTTGGGCCTGGGTCTATTGGTGATTAGCCTCCCAGGAGAGTATTTTGGACCTTGTCTAATGGTTCTGAGACCTGAATCTGTCTCAATTCTAAATTGTGAGGAGAAGACGCAGTCCTGCTCTCCTATGTCCCTCCGTGTTCTCAGCATCCACAGCAGTTCGTGGCTTATAGTGGGTGTTTCCTCAGAATTGTTTGAATAAGGAGTTGAGAAACTCAATTTCATCAATTGCAAAGAATAGAAAAAGAAAACCAAGACACTTATTGGCTCATTCCCCTGTATAAGGAGTGAGGTTGGTTCAGATACACATGGATCCATTGGTTGAAGCAGTCTCTGTCTGTCCGTCTGTCTCTCTCTCTGTCTCTCTTACTCTGCCTCTCCCTGTCCCTGACTGTGCATTTTCCCCTGTCTAGTTATCTACTTAGGGAAATTCCCTCCATTTGTCACAGAACAGAACATGCCCTTTCTTTTCCCCAGCACCAGTAGGAACACTGCAGAGAACTCTGACAGCCCCTCCCTGGTACGTTCGCTGAGTCTGTTGCTTGGAGCAGAGACACGTGGTGGAAGCCCACCAGAAGCACAGGGAGTAGAAGATGGGCACTTCTCCAGAGGAAACGAGCTTTCTGTCATCCACAGGAGGAACAAAGCTAGACAAAAACAACAGATCTACAGTGTGATAGGCACTCACTAAATGGGAACAAATCCTAATAATAAGTCACAGTGGAAGTTCACAGCCTTTGACTAGTTGGCTAGCTTATTGAGACAGGCATCCATGAGGCTGGGTACAATCTAGCTAATTAGGGAAGCCATTTCCATCCCACGGGAAAGAACTATTCCTAATCTGTTTGAGGATCAATGAGTGAACTAGCTGCCTGAAGGAGAATGTTTGTGACAGGAGAAGATGAAAGATAAGATCCCAAAGTCAAAGGGAGATCTTGAATGCAAAGCCAAAGGCTTCATTCCTGAGGTTGAAGATGACAAATCTGCAACCCAGGAGCCGTGACCTCCAGACACTGCCAAGGGATTGTGCAGGGCACTCCTGCTGAGCCTGGACTCAGCCTCAGAAGTCATTTCACCCCAGTCCTCCCCTGGGAAAGCCACTAGCCATCCATCAGTGTTGGCATGAGGACCGAACCCCCGTTGCCATTCCTGCCATAGAAGGGGCTTTGGAATCTGTTGGATGCTTTTACACAGAAGAGTGAGCAAACTCACACCTTAGAGTGGCCACAAGCTTTACACAAGAAATTGCACATGTATTGGGAGGGGACTGACACTGCAGACGTACCTGTCCTTCACGTCCTGGTTGAGCATCAATGACCCTAGAGGAAGAGCAAAGCGAGCAGATCTGTAGCCCAGGGTTTTGTGTCTTCCATTGGTCTGAGACGGTATTGTCTTTGGCCAACCAACCCCACAGGGGATATGGGAAAGAGAAGCAATGTTGTAGAGAGGAAAGTAGGCAGGAGGAGGGCAAGGAACCTGAGACCCTATTACTGCTTTATTGTCATCAAGACTTCTCTTTGTTGGGGATTTGAAGTTGAGAAGTATTCACCTAGAAAAATTAATTGTATCCTTCCGTCAAACCAGTGGGACCTTACTCCCATTTGACAATTGAGGAAAGTGAGACTAAAGATATTGACTTTACCCCAAGATAACTAGATGGTGATGATGGGGAGGAGGAGGACATTGACGGTAAGTGTCAGTGTCACAGGGCTTCTGCATCCCAGGCCTCATTCTCAAACTTCCCTCACTGCCATTTCACGGGAACCCTGTTATGACTTCATTTCTGCAGATACAGAAACCAAAGCACTGTGGAGGTAAGAAACTTTGTAGGTAGGTTCCGTAAACCTGTAATGTCATCACCTCATCTGTAAACGAGGGAGAATTGTTCTTCCCTCATAGGGTTGTGTTATTCTTCTTTTATTTTTTTAAGATTTAATTTTTTCCTTTTTCTCCCAAAGCCCCCCGGTACAGAGTTGTGTATTTTTAGTTGTGGGTTCTTCTAGTTGTGGCGTGTAGGATGCCACCTCAGCATGGCTTGATGAGCGGTGTCATGTCCGCTCCCAGGATTCGAACCAGCAAAACCCTGGGTCGCTGAAGCAGAGCATCTGAATTAAACCACTCGGCCACGGGGCCGGCCCGGGTTGTACTACTTTTAAATGAGATATGAGAAAAGTGCTTATCGTAGTGCCTTACACAATTAGAGAAGAATTCAGTGAGGGCCCCTTCTAGCATTTTTATTAGAAATGATGTAATGTACCCATACATTGGAAAACTCCCTGCTCTTCTTTCTCTATTTTTCTCAGCCTATTCCTCTCATTCTATTAAAAACTTTAAAAGATCTTAGAATA